TGATGCTACTTGTAAATTCTCTTAACCATTACCACTGGTCTTTACTTTAATATGTCATTATTCACCGCCTATTAATAGACAATACATTAAACATACCTTATCTTAGAATTATGTTATTAAAATCTGGAATTGCTTTATTTCAAGTTTTTTTAAAGGTCAAGTGACATTATTAATAGCTTCTTTTCTAAAACACAATAGAAAATGACACTAGACATTAAGGTTCCTTGAAGGCAAATTACCATTACCAGTTTACCACAGAGAAAAGAAGTCAAATTCAAAGAATATGAAAACAAAGAATTTGTATACTTGCTGGATATACTGCTGGAATGGTGTCAGGATGAATCCAATGGTAACAAGTTCATCTGCGTTAATACAATTATGATTTTATGTTGACTGCTTAAAACTGTAACTAATACACTTTCAGGATACTCAAACATAGTTTAATCAAAGCTCCTTGAAGCCAAATAATTACTGCTTAGTTAAAAATCCCTTTTCAAAAATGTGATGACTGTACATTGTGTAGTTAGTGTGAATGGAGTTCAAAAGGTCAAAACTTGGAAATGAGTTGATGAAATGAGCTTTCAAGTCATTTTCTTTCAAGTATTACAGTAAATTGGAAACTTTCAAAACACATTTTTTGACACAAATAACTATGAACGAAAGATTAAACCTCAGTGTGTTTTGAACCGTTTCCAAATCAAAATCCTTACTTACTGTATGCTCTGACTCCAATGTTCTTGTTTAGTCTGGAAAAGGTTCCAGCCAAAAATGGCTGGATGGTGCCACCTTCATCTTTTTAGAATTTGTTAAATATACTAGGGAAGGTGTACATATATTTTGTTTTACATGCCTACTGTATGTACAGTATTTGCATGTTATGTGTCTATACAATTGTGATATTCAAACTATGAAAAGATATTGTGATATTAAACCTAACAGCAGCAGAACATAAAAAAAAGTTTAGGTTTAACTATCTGACACCTAACACCCTTAGCTCACGTGTGTAGAGCTTAGAAATAAAAATAACTATAAATTATAAAATCATATTTGAAATGTAAAACAAAATTAAGAATGGGTGTGGCTCCTATTTGTCTCCCATAAACTGTTTAGAGAATGAGAGGAGGCCAATCAGCCCTTCTAGCCAGTATTGTCCAGTTTATTCAAGGTGTACCACAAGGCTATATCCTGGGGCCTTTATGTTTTACTGCTTACATGTTGCCTCTTGGTCAGTCATGTGTCATCATGGATTTGGGCTTCACAGCCTATTACCGTAGAACACCGCAAAGGTATCTTTCTTTCACCTGTGTAACATTAGTTGACATCCTTGTTCCAAATATCTGATGCTGAAATATTGATATCGCGTCAAGACTGGACTATTGCAATGTCTTACTTGGATATGTTTTAAATTCCTAAAAACATTTTGTATAACCATGAGTCTGCATACCTAGAAGTACTCTGTATCAGCACTTCCCTCCTCTGTACATGGCACTGGTTCACCTGCTCATGTAGAGGATAATACACTCAACTGTTCCAGATTATGCTTAGGCTTTATGGCATGAACAGAGTTCAGGTCTCAATCTATCATCTGCTTGCTTGGGTCTTCTTGCTCTGCTGGAGATCAGGCACCACACAATGGAAGGAAAAAACATTTTGTTTTGCTGTGTCTGAGGCAGTACAGTAATAGAAAGCAAAGGGGAAAGGAGTGAGCACACTCACAGACTCACTTTCTAGAGTGCTCTGGAGGCCGCTCAAGGTGTAATCACAAATTTCAGGTCAGTAACCTCTAAAATAAAGTGGGAAAGCAAAACGCAAATGGGAGAAAATGCCCCGGTGGTTTAAAAAACTACAAATTAACCAGCATTGAGTGTGCATGACAGCACGTGCCGGTTCTGGAGAAGTCACACTCATTTGTGCAGACTGCAGAGACCACAAGCCATAAGAGCCAGGCTCACAAACACAGAGAGTATAAGCTTTTTCTTTCTTGCTTTGAGAAAGCATTCTTAACTTATCAGATTGCACAGTACCTCTTCAGTTTCTATGCCATGCTATGTAATGTTATGTAACATTGACATTTTATAAATGTAATTGGAGGATTGCCATAAATATGTTTACAAAACAGCCTTTTCTTATATAGTGTAAATTATGTGAAACCCCCAAAAATCACATATTGCTTTAAACTAGCATAACAATGGATATGTTATGAAATTAAGCAAATGAATACATGGTGTAATACAGAAATATTTTTTTAAAACCAAGGACAACAGTACTTTAGGTATCAGTTCAACATATGTACAAATCTGTCTGTGTAAACATTACATCTGTCTAAAAAACAAAAACAAGATTGCACAGTCTACAGATTATTTATTGTATTGTCCCTAGTTAAACATTTTATATTTCACAAAAATGTCATCAGTATATACTCTATGAGTGCTGCGACAAACAATAGGGAATACAATTAATCATCACAATACCAAAACAAAGGGCTTCTACAGTATATGAGCTAATTTTTTAGATGAATCTGAATGCTAGAAAACACAGAGTTGGAATGTCTTTCCTACGTCTTACTGTACTGTTTGTGGGAGTGAACTACAACACATATCGGTATCACTCATTTTCTGTTTGAGGTGAAGACGCTTATCTGAACAGTAGTGTATAGTCTGTGACTCTATATGTCTGTGTCATAAAGAGATTGGAGGATTGTGCCTCAGTGTTTGAATTTTGCCTTTTGGCCAAGACCCACGATTGGTCTGCATGCACCAATGTGGGCACCACATGGGCCCATTCTGGTGGGAAGATGCTGCTTTTCATTAATGACCTTCAGCAGCAACAGTGTAGTTTTGCCAAGAATGTATTCAGAGTCTGCAGGGCCGTACATTATCACCTGTTCAATTCTGCCATTTCAGTTCCGCTGCTCATCGGAATGTTTCCACCTGAATCCTGCTAATACCTGACAGTTTCAGCTTGAACTATACTTCCTTGCTTTGCGGTGTGTGTGTGCCATGTCACTCTCTTGGCACAAACGCTAGATTAACCTGGGCTTTCTTTCACTGCTTATTAGCCCAGCACAGAGGAAGAGAACAGGTAGAGCATGACGTCAGCTGGGAGGCTGAGCAGGACCTTATTTGTCACTGCAGTTTACATTGAATTTTCTCCTGTAGTGCTTCTCATCTGTTCTATATTAAAAATATATTTTTTAAGTACTTATCATCTACGAAGCATTTCCTGTACCTTTACAAAGCAGAGGAAAAACAATGCAGGGAACCATTGTGCGACGAACAAAAACAGAACAATAATACAGTTCTTGTGTCTCCTGGCACGGAAGCTGGCCATTTGGCAGTTTGTCGTCCCAAGTTAATCAATCCAAGACAGGATTGATTTAGGAAAACAAAAGCCCATATTGATTGCTACATTTGGTAGACATAACGGTATTGTTTCCAGATGTTTTCAAGTCATTTTTGAGATACACCTTTGCATTCTTAGCTAATTAATCAGATTTCTTTATGCCACGTAAAAAGAAACTGATTTATTTGCACTGTGTGATTACATTGTACATTTACAGGTACATTTATTTATTTTTGGTTTATGGAAAACTGTGGTTCCTTTATATGAAAGACCATTAAAGTGTTGGTTAACAGATAGGCAGTGTGATGTTTTGATACATACTGTACTGTAAAACATGAATGTAAAAAACAACTCTTAAAACTATTCCTTCCAATGTGAAATCATGTTATTACCCTAACAAAGAGTATGCTATATCAAAACATTAATATAGAAAAATACATCTAAAATAATAAACGCATCTAAAAAAAGCCATTTCGATGTCAAAATCAAAGCAGTGAGATAAACCTTTGTGTCATTAAAATGAGAAGAGTTCCCTCCAGCTCCCCCAAGTCATAGTGTTGCAAATATCGCTGAAAGTGCCTGCCATACACGTGGCAGCCACCACAAGAGGAAACCCGAGCCATAAAGTGAAAGGCCCTACTCTACAGTCAACCAATGACATTTCAGCTGAGCAGGAGACAAAATCATCTACCATTTCCATCTCAATAAGCAAGCAATTTCCGATTTGAGTGAAAAGTTCACACAAAGCGCTTTCTACATAATCACTGTTAGCGATATTTTTTGTGAAGGCCATAAACTTTCACACATGCCACAAACTAATGATGAACTACTCATACAGAACATCTGTGAAAAGACTGTCCTCTCAGACATGAAGTTGTGCCAGTGGCAAATGTGTAGCTGTGTTATTTAAATGCCAACATCATAGCTCCTTTAGTCTTCTACAGCACCCAAGTCACAGCCGGACACCTAACCAATACAAATAAACTAAACCGATACCAGTGAGCTTTTCTATTTCAAACGGCTGCATTATTATTAGCAGGCCCAATTTTTATTATTGAATGTACTTAAATATTTAAAGTATAATACACTGTATAGTATTATATAAAATATAAGTAGTAGTAAGAATAATAGCACAAAAAGTAATTCTTTTTTCACAGGAGGAAAATTGTATCCACCACTCTACTAATGTCTTGGGCTCAATGCCCAGTACAGCAGTTTAAATACTATATAGAAAGTACCTCTTTTGATGGTAATATACAGTATGGGATCACTTAAAGGGTAATCCACCTGCACTGTGCCTTATCATGCCTTTAACTTTATTTTGCTGTCTCAAACACGACACTAAGTACAGGACTGATGTTGCTAGACTGCCGTGCTGAGAATCCCCATTGCTAACTGAGAAAAAAACACAATCAGTCTAACAATGGAGTAGAGACACACTCTATAACACATATACAGTTTAAATTGTTTGATTTGGAAAAGGGGATATATAAATTCAAATATCAAAATAAAATTTGGAATTAAACACAGCAATCTTAACCTTGCTTGAACTTGGAGTGGTGTGTCCCAGATGGTAAACTGCATGCTTGAACAGCAGGCTGAGACTAAGTAAAACTCATAGAGCAGGAAGTAGATTTATAGCCTTCTCAGAAATGTACCTTGTATTGCCCTCTCAGCATCTGTTCTGCCACTGTTGCGGTCAGTCTCCATCTCCTGGGTCAATGAATCTATGAAAACAGAAAGACATTGGTAAATAAACATTATTGATTTGCCATATGGATATTAATATGAAGAAACTACAGAAATATCTGACTGGCACACCTGTTTCAGAAACACCTAGATTATATACATCTAGCAATGAAACAGAAATAAAGAATTACATTATTCATTAATCAGGATAATTCTCATCAACTGAAGGAAAAAATACAACAACAGATATCTTAAAGAATTTAGTTAACACCATAATTAAAAAGGAGTTAAGTAATACCACCCAGGTGATTGTTCACCAGTTATAACATGCTGCTATAATGGTATGTTTAGGTGTGAAAATCAATTTACTACTCTAAACACATTTAAAAGGAGGCATTATTAAGAAGTTTAATGGAATTTCAAGGCTGATGTTTGGACCTTCAGCATTAACAAGCCACAAGAATGGCTCCAGCACTCTTCATAGCCATCTCTATGTGTATACACATTTTGGGGTTACTCCAGTGTGTTTTGTAGTCAAGTCTCACATTCTATTGTTTGATGAATTATACAAATGTGTCATATAGATGGCTTTAAAATATAGACCAATGGTTTTAGATAAGTTTTTCAATGTCATATAAACCCTTTAATTTTTTTTACTTCTTTAAGTCACAGCATATCATTAAACAGATCTCCTCCAAGATCACTTTGTGCGTCAAAAAGGAAATGAAAGAAATTAATTTAGCTAAAATTCTATTGGTTTTCATGTTGTGATAGTAACCAAAGTTTTCCAGCTATTAAAAATCAAGCACTGAATTAATTTTACTGTTCATTAACCAAACTTGTTCAATTCCAAAACTGAGTGAAATTTGAGAAGTGAACATTTTTATATGCACACAAATTCAATACAGAATTCAATAATTCAACACCCATTTTCATAAAGAGTGAGATCACAAATACAGTAAGCCCTTCTCTGGGTACAGTTTTTACTGCATATACAATGAAGAATTTTATCCCCCACAATTTCCACTGGCTATATAAATGTAACTCTGCTCTTGCTTTTTTAAAAAAAATAATTCTACTTCTATCTACTCAGTAATTTCAAATAATAAATAAACAGGAGTCTGATTGATGATACAGAAAATTGGCAATAAACCTAACACAGGTTCCCATTACAAGATATCTGCGACAAGCCGTTCCAAGGAGACACCCGACATTGCTGAAGGAAAAGATAACATTTCTATTAGTTTAATGAAGGTACTAATCTCACTGAACCACGTTTTTCCACTTCTTTCACTACGGCCCTTGATTGTAACTTTATACATCTGAAAACATTTTAGTGGCTATTTTTTCTCACCGTTAAGGGTCCTGAGACTGTCTGTGGAGGATGCCTGCTTCAATGTCTGCTCTGCCTGTTCTCGCCTTTTGGTTTCATATTCAAGTGCTTCCTGCAATTTCCTCTTTGCCTTCTTTTCCTTCTTTAACCGCTTCTGAATTATTGCTGGAGAAAAGGACAGGCGATGAGTGAAAATTACATGTTCTCAATCATACCTCTTTTTTAAGAGCCGCACCTTTTCTCTATAAACAGATCTAATTTTTAGCTATGATCCAAGAAAAAAAGAAAGATGTTAAGAGAAAAACATCAATTCAAAAGTATACATTTTTCTTACCCTCAATTTGCAACACTTTATGAGAACAAAGAATGTAATTCTATTATCATTAGTAAAAATGCTGGTTTAATATATATTGAGTTATTTTTTATATACATTTTCAGATTCAAGTTGAGAACGTATTTGTCTCCCCATATTTTGCTCCCTTCTAGAGTAAAGATCTAAAAATGCAACAGCAGGCAGAGTGGTGGCTCTGTGGTTCAGGATCTGCGCCTGTGGCTGGAAGGTTGCCGGTTCAAATCCTGCAGCTGACAGAGGAGTCCTACTCTGTTGGGCCCCTGAGCAAGGCCCTTAACCCCAGCTTTTCCAGGGGTGCTGTACAATGGCTGACCCTGTGCTCTGACCCCAAGCTTCTCTCTCCCTGTCTGTGTCTCATGGAGAGCAAGCTAGGGTATGTGAAAAGAATATTCCTAATGCAAGAAATTGTATAGGGCTAATAAAGTGATGTTGTTGCTGTTATGTTAACAGTACATTTTTATATACAGATTTTATATAGGGAACAGAGGTGTGGGGCCTGAGATGTAAGTTTGGTGAAAAAAGTTTCAGAAGTGGGCTTATAATTGCTAAAGTAATTTGATTAATTATATGTCAAGTGACTTTTAGAATGTTTAGTCATGTCTTTTCACTTTTCAGTGTGGAATTAAATTTATTTAATTTCTTTACTGCCAATGCACTTTGATATGACCAGATGCTGCTCTATGTGAACAAAGGTAATTATTTATACATATGCACTAATTTTAACTAATAAAATTAGTGCATATCCTGAGTTCTAATTTTTGTTCACTTCTAGACTAATTTATAACTTGAAGATGATACCAGGAAAATAAATTAATAATGCTAATGTAATAACATTAATACAATTATGTTACAACTAACTAGTTGCTTTAAGTATTCTATTGTTTTCTCTCTGAAATACATTTTGCTAAAACGTGAACTGTTCATTTTACCATTCATACTGTACTTTACCATTCAAACTTTGTGAACGTGCATTTAAATCTGAGTACAAGAGGCTTGTCTTTACCCAGAGGGTTGGGGAATACAGACCGAGCTGCCCAGCCATGTAGTTCAAGCAGAAACCCTGGCTTCTTTCAAGAAACAGCTGGATGAGAGCCTTGGATCAGTCAACTCCTAACTACCAAATGGGCTAGATGGGCTGAAAGAACTCCTCTTGTTTGTAAGCTTTCGTGTGTTCTTATGAATTAAGTCCTTCAAAGTGTGCCGACTGAGCATTGTTTATGATGTGGATGGGGAATTTGTTAAATGTTAAATCTAGTACTGCATCTTGGTTAATAAGAGAACTTTTTGAGAGTGGCACAACTGGCAGTTTAGAGAGTTCCTATTCATTATGTATGAAGAAATACGTTATTTACAAGCCTAATGACACTAGTTTGCCATGTGTAGTTACTTGTACAGTCTCATAACACATACAACTATATTGCTGAAACCAAAGCTAAAACTATAGACCACATGGGACTGAGTCAACAAAAATCTCTGTCACAGAATGTCTAGAGTAGCCCTTCACTGCAATTTCTGGCTCTGTAAGAAGTGAAACAAGAAACAGTAAACCAAACAGTAAGAAAAAAAAATTAGGATTGCTATGTTTGCTTACACGGAATATTTATATTCCCCAAACAATGGGATGTCAGGAAAAAAGCCCTTGTTTCATGCTAGATACTAGAAAGGAAACTGCGAGCGCAAGTGCCAGTCAGAGGACAGACACAGCTCAGATTGTTCCTGTCCTCCACTGCGGACAGCTGGGGAGCTGAAGGGGCTGCTGCTGGTGTTTGACAGGAAGAGAATCCCCCAGTCAGTCTCACTCCCATCCAGTCCAGACCTGCAGGGTATCGATCACCTCAGTTTACTAGTTGCTTAAAGTACAGCAGGGTAGTAAATTCATCATTCCCCCTGGAGAATGAAATAAAAAATAAGCCCTTATCATGCTAAACTATCAATTCCTTGATTAGGTTTTTAGATACCTCTGTTTTTCTGCTCCACGGCCAGCTGCTTCTCCAGTGTTTCTCTGAGCTCCCGTTCTCTGAAAAGCTCCATCTTCAGCTCGGTCTTCTCCAGCTGGATCTGCTTCTCCTGGGCTCTGGCATTGTCGATGGCCACCTTTAAGAGGCCCTGTATATATGTTTACATTTTTTAGGCATGGTCGTCTGCCAGTGAAGAAAGTTCTGAAAGCTGTGCCATTCTCAAATAATTTTACAAAATCAGGATGCTATATAAAGGACAAAAATAATCAATTTGATAAATGAGGCCAGTCATGTGAGTACAAACCCAGATTTATTCATTGCTCGTATCAGCAATACCTGCATATGTGAAATTCTACAATGTTCTTTGTGTAACGCACTATGATCACAAAATTCTTCCAATAACTCACTGTTACATCATATATTTTATAATTTACACTATAAAAATGCAATGATTAATAAGTATTAGTAAGTATATCAATATTTATTTTATAAAATAATTTATGTATAAAAAATAGAAGTAATCCTTTATGTGGAACTTTGTGAAAAGCCATTTAAAAATGTAAATGTACTATACCTTACCATGAGCTCTACAGATATTAATTACATATGTATTTAGGTTATATATAAACTGCAAACTGGTTGACATTTTAGTATGATTTTGAATATAGAGTAAACTTTTCAAATTCATGAATAATACCACATACAGTAGAAGTTACAAAGGAAAGTCACTATAGGCACTACTACTAGTCAAATACCTCTTCAGAAATATAGTATCAAGTATCACATACATACTGTATACAAGACATATACCAAGTTTTACCTGCAAGCAACAAGAATGTACATCATAAATACAAGTTTGGTGGCACTATTTTTGAAGAGCAGCTATAAAAGGGTGTTTTTGTTGAGTTAATACGGTCTGCTTCAAGTCAACTGTTAGGAAGTGTTAGAAAACCCCAAAAATGCTAGCACAATCTTAATCTGGGAACTTTATGCCGATATCATGGCATGCATTAGTTATACCTTATTTAAATTGTTGTGAAAAACAAAAGTAAAAGAGGTGTGTAAGAGAACAGATAAAAGAGAAAGTGGAGTAGAAATAAGAAAGACAAAGAAATAATGGTGAGATGAATGTGCAATGGTATGTGTGTTCACCCAGTGGTGGGACAGGGTCCTGTCAAGGGTGTAATTTTCCTTGGTTTTGGGACAGACCCTGAGCTGCTGCACCTCAGGTCAGTTCTACGATAACAGGTTGATGGATAAAGAACATTCTCATAGATGACAATGAATAGCACTTCCATGACACATCAAAGACGACTTAGCAGAACATCTGGCTAAAGTCAAAACAAGGTTATGTGTTAAGAAACCAGCAATAGATGTCTGACTTCAGTGTTAAAGCTTTTGATTTATTCACCTGTGATGTACAGTATGTGTACATAAAAAAACTAAGGAAAATTAGGAATAGTATTAGAAAATAAAATGTTTAAAAATGTAATCAAATACTATCCTGTGGGGAAGGATAAAAAAGTTGATGATCACATTTATAAATCTATTTAATATCCTATTAATACAGGATTGACTTGCAATAAAACCAAATATTTCCTAGTGGACTTTATTACAGGACATATAAAAAGGAAATATTCACATATTTACATATTTACAGCAAGCTAGGACAATATCAAACAGATAACTCCCTACACACATACAATTAAACCAAATGAAATGAGCTATATCTTATTAATTGGTCTTTTGCTTGACCTCAATTTAAATAAAGTTGACATATCTCAATTTTCTGCTTGGATTCCTTTTGTTGACTTATACTATGGCTATACTTCATCAGAACTCTTCCCAGAGATCATTACACAGGATGACTTATTTTAGGAATGTATTGTGCGGCTATATATAGAGTTGATTAATAATAATGTATCACAAGCCAGGCTAAACGGAGTGGAAATCATTCCGACCTGACTGATGTCCAAGTCACATGTGAAATGAGCTAAGCAATCTGAGCCACAATAATTAATACGCAGCTTTAGAGACCACAAAACCAACCCTTGACTCTGACTTCAGTTTGCAAGCCTGGTTGTTTAGATCATGGCCACAAGAAGTGACAAGAAGTCAGGAGATAAAGTTGAGCTATATCATATATAATGTGCTAAACCCAGCCCAACTTTAAATGCACGTTAAATTAACTTCAGCTTTGTGCTTAGTATTTAAAATCCAATGAACAGGTTATTGTCTGTTCTTTTCCATATGTAAAAATGCAGTTATACATTTCTTTTTTATACAATTTCGTCATTTATATAAATTACTAATCAGACAAGCATTGAGTTAAAATATATAATATAAATATATTATCTTTTATCAAATCAGAATGATGTTTTTCATCGTGAAATATGAATGGATCCATACAGTATATAGATCCAAAGTCTATTACTGTACACCTTGGAAAAGTATTAAAATATAAAATAGCACTCCTTTTATACTATTTATGTTGCTAGGATGCTGTGCAATCCGTTTTAGCAGAAAAAAACATCTAGATTAACTGAAAATAAAGCGTTTTTTCTATTGAATTTATAGACATGGATAATGGAAAAAAAGCACGGTTTAGAACAACACAACCGCAACATCTCTTATAATGTTTGCAAAGGTGCTGTTTATGATTTCCACATTTAGAACATTATACTGATGATGAAAACACAGAATTTAATCAGTATTCCACTAATGATTTCTTGTAAACAATGCAATCACAATCAAGCAGATTCAGAGTCACTCAGTGAGTCATACTTCCTCACTACGTTAAGGACTTCAGAGACTACAAAAGCTATACTCAATTAAAGGCATGCTAATGTCTTTAAACATGATCCTTAATTACCTTATTGGCAAATGCTGACATATTGTACACAGGAAAAGGTTCATTTTCTTGAACTTTTCAATAAACCTTACATCCATGCATGTGTTGATGCCTATTTCTACCTGAACATTTGCTGAATCTCCACTAGATTTTGAAATGCCCTTTTATTCCAGTTTAATACAAGCAACAGAATGGCAGGTGCAAGTACTCTTTAGTGGGTCTCCTCTCTGTCAGATGTTTTAAAAGAAGTCACCTATCATAAGACAATATGAAGAGATCTGTTTAAATACATACATAAAACTGCATCTTGAAAACTAACCTGTATATTGGTTAGGAGTGTCTCTATTGAGGATAGCCCATCTGGAAACAGGAAAGGAGACGGAAATCCTGGTGGTAAAGGCTGTCCTGCCAGGGATAGCTTCTCAAAACTGTCTCTTGCAGTCGGAGTGCAAAGTGGAGTCTCATCTGTAACGACAACCAGAAAAACAAAAGCAGTTACACTTGCTTCTTTAAATATGATTACTTTGAAGAATTACTCGTTAGTTTAAAGTAAATATTGAGCTGTCTTATGAACACTAGAGGGCTTAAAAATGGTTAATGGTTAAAATGGTGGGGGGGGTTCCTTTAGTACTGTGGTAATAAGTCTGAGACATCCTGGGTTTGAGACTTACCTGAGATGCAGAACAGCCTAAATAAGGATACAATGAAAGTAAAGTTAAAATTATATATATGTGTGTGTGCTGAGTACTGAAATATATCACATATCTAACCTCTAAAAGAAAAACTGTCAGTGTTGTTAAAGCTGTGCCAATCGAGGTTAAATTTCACCTGAACAGTTTGAGAATTAGACGAAGGTTGTGTAAAACGTGCTGTCAGCATGTTAAGATAGGGGTGTAACCCCGGCATCCTGGCCAAATTTCCCATTGGCCCTTACCAATCATGGCCTCCTAATAATCCCCATCTATGAATTGGCTACATTACTCTGCTCTCCTCCCCACTGAGAGCTGGTGTGTGGTGAGCGTTCTGGCGCACTATGGCTGCCGTCGCATCATCAAGGTGGGGCTGCACATTAGTGGGGGTGGAGGGGATCCCCATTACCTGTAAAGCGCTTTGAGGGGAGTGTCCAGAAAAGCGCTATATAAGTGTAAGCAATTATTATTATTATCTTTTAGTATACCACTGCACTGGAGCCTAAGTTCTACTAAGAGCCTCCGTTCATGGCCAGGTTAAGGGTCAGAATTTGAGCAGAGCCTGGTAGTGAAGACATCTTTAACCCATTTTAGTTTAAATTCTAAATCCCCACTTATCTCTATAGTTATAAATTGAAAGCTAAGCACTGAAGGCAATACCAATAGACAACAAAAAGACAGTAAACGGCATCAAAAATGCAACAAATGATATCTGCTCCAAAACTAGCTCAGTACAGTATATACACTGTATACAAACTGTATAATGTAATCAGTAGTGGAGATTCTAGGAGATCACTCATAAAAAATAGACAGAGGCATGACAGTGACTGCCATAAGCATTACCTTTATCAGGATTTCTATTAAAAGCTTCCTGGCCTGTGCTTTAACTTGCTATTGTCTTGTGCCATTGTACACCAGATGTTACATGAAAACGTCAGCTGTAAATGATTGATGGTCTCCCTTTCCCATCTCCAAATAAACTCCCAATTATTGATGTTTGTATAGCTCTAGACGCTGCTTGAGAATATCCTATTAGATTGAAACAATCAGCCCATTTATTCTGCATTTCTTGTTTAATGTAATATTTATATGTTTATGAACATTTCAGCTGAGAGGCCCCGGTGCACAGAAGTGTTGCTAGCTTTGCCTGCTCCACCCAGTCCATATGGCGTGATTGCTTACCAATGTGAGGTCTAACTTTCTTTTTCCACCAGGCACATATGGCAGGCCTAGGCTAGCCAGGGTCCTGGATCCTCAACAAAGGCCATATGGCAGAGACAGAGGGAGCAGTGAGCCCTCATTTACCTTGTATTAATATTTCATCCTCTCCCCTGACACAATGGTGAGCAGGTTTGGGCAGATATATCTGATCCCTGGAAAAGAATTGGCTACAAAATCAATACTGCAAAGGCAGTTTTGACACGAGCTGTGAGATGGACTCAATATTCCTTTCATTAGAAGAGGTGAATGCTGGTGATGATTTTTCAAAACCTCTTATTTGTTACATAATGATTGATAGTTAATCTATGTGGACATACTTACATCTAAGGACTACTGGTGGGTGGAGGGGAGAGTAAAAGACTTTCATCACAATGTTTCAGAGGCTTTGTGTCTAATCCCACAGACAGTAGTCAAGCAAGTTACTGTATATGTTTTAATCTAGTTGTTTCTCTTATTTATCTTTTAAACTAGGAAGGATCACCAGCACAATATACAAGTAAATTACACAGACCTACTGTACCTAGCCAGGTCTTTCAATCTGTATGGCTATACAGCTTTTACACTTCGCAGATTTCTGCTTTTCTATTTTACCATGCACTCTCCTTCCTCCCTCTGCTTCACTGCACACATCACTTCATCATCTATAATTTGTTTGTGTGTGTCAGCTATAATTTGAAATTTCATCATATATGTGAGTTGCTGCAACCACATACCTTCATATATTCACAGAGACTATTCTAGTCACATGACAAGGACCTGGATATTAGCTATGAAAGTGTGTACAGGCCATAGGGTGTCACAATCTGCAGATATGATACCAATCGGAATCATATGGAATCATATGGCTTTGAAACCTGATCCAAAACACTGGATATTTCACAAGCTTTAAACATGTCATCCACTTCAACAGAATCCCAAAGACATTCCTTAAACGCACTTCCTGGATATCAAAACCTAACAAGACACACAGTTTGTAGCACAGAAAAGAAGTGAAACACAAAACTCTCACCACACAAAACCATGTCAATCATCAACTGCAACAGACACCATTGTTATCATATCTTCTGAAATAAAACTATTTTAAATTACTGTAAATATATTCACTATATTTTCTACAAGTTAAACATTTTATAAATCAATGTATTGTACATTGTATATTTGTTGTACTGTATATTGTACAACAAACTGTTAAAAGATCACACAAAACTAATAGTTCCCGCTAAAAGGTGTGGTAACAATGGTTTAGACATTAATTAATTGTTGGACAACTCAATTCATACCATATTAATATAATATCCATCTACTCTATATCACCTCAAAACCTCACTTAATCCAAATCCTGTAACTGAATGCTATTTCTTTTATTAGCACTAATGGATGTTAGAAAGATTTGACCTTAATTTCTTTGCACTATACACCTCACTTGGTACACAAAATGTACCAAAACAAAACCCAATTAAACAGGAAAGTCTTCACATTTACTGCAGGAGAAATCCTCCTTTCAAAATAACTTCTTCCAATGTATCTCTGAAATCCAGGAGAGTTCAATGCCCAGGCAAATTTGAGGTTTTCTCTACTAAATGCCATTTCAAAGGTTACAAACAAGTTGCATCTGGTTCCTGTAACCTTCCACCAGTGTGAATAGGTGCTAACTGCTCCCTGTTATCCCACCCAAGGTTACAGGGCCTGACTCTTTAATAACATCTCCTGTCCACAGAGACCAAATCCCATTATGGCTCTGTAGAGCTCGGTGAAGGGTTAAACAATATCATAAAGAAATACAAATTGCACACATTCTCCATTTAACAGATGTCAACCAAGTTCAAGATTTAGAATTCAAAGCAGCTAAGGCTCAACCTCAGAGGTCCAATTCCACTGTGAACCCATTGGTCCTTGTCAAATTTGTGATGACATCATATCACATCTATCAATTCTTTAAGGGCAGCCCCTGCCATCTGCTCTGCAGGCTATCATAACTCCACACACATTTACAAGAAAACACTGCACAATGACATTATCTTAAACCTGTCATATAGAAGTGACGCTTAAGATCTAAATAAAAGAAAGGGCATTTTTGAAGGGCCCTTTTGTCAGCTTGCAAATTGATATAACTTACAGAAGCAAAACACATAAAAAGGAAGATAAGAGTATTACTCTGGCTGTACAGTGGATAAAAAAGAATGGTTAAGAAATAAATAATATTAAACATATGCTAAGTATTTAATTACACAACCCCTAAGGATCAGCCAGAGATATATAGCATGCATAGCAACTAAGTATTGAGTTATCTTTTGTTAATAAATAAACATGTAATCTTTCATGTTGTCTCTTACAGCAGTGCCACCATCTCGTAGCTGTTCGTGGTTCTGCAGGTGGTACTCATCCCTCAATTTCTGACTCAGTAAACCACTATGGTGACAGGGCATAGGCGCCTTAGGAGGTGAGGTTTTTGCATGACATTTAAACTGAGGTCCTGACTGCTTAGTTATTAAAGATCCAATAGCAGTGTTCTTCAGAGCAGGGGTGCTATCTTGGAATCCTGGCCACTTTCCACTTTGGGCGTGCCCAGTCTAGACAGCCAGTTCTCCTCTTGATTCAGCTGGGAAAGTGGTTTCTCACTTTTACACCTGATCTACAGTGTAATGGGGCTACTGGCACATAATGGCTTAGTGATCCTTTGGGATGCAAAGCTCTACACAGATGCAAGGATTGTTAATTATTATGTCACAAAGCAGGATGCAAAGACAGGTCACAAAGATAAGTTTATGAATTTCATCACATTTAATATGTGGCAGGTAAAGTCAAGTGTTGCTGAAGACAGACGTTTCTTTTCTAAAAGTAAAGAGTTTATTGGACACATTGGGTACTATGTTATAGCTGCCAAGAATAAACCACTTCCTTCACTAAGCAACATTATCAGACAAAAGCTGTGCTAATTTTTGTACACAGCATGCTGATGCAAGTTCAGCTAATGTATGAGAAAACATCATCATTTTTATTCTAACATAATACGGTTTATCTCTGAAACAATCTGAATTAAGAACAATCTTGGGTTTGTGAATTTAAGCATGTTAACATTTTTTTTCACTCTCTCTGCAAAATAGCTCATCAATCCTTCTCCGTCCTCTGCCTTTTCTGTCTGCCCTCAGACCAGAATGGAGAGAAACATTGCCTCACTGAACCCAAAGGTTTGTCCCCACTGTGATGGTGTCTGGTTTGAAAACTTTTTCTTCTTTTATTTTAATTGCACACCTTCCTCCTAATCTCTGTAATCCACTCTCATGCAGTATTTATTCTTGTTTACACTGTAATCTAAATTACACACAAATAAAAGACAAGTCGAGCAGCCCCTCTTCTCCCATCAATATTCACAAATGCCTGCCAAGTCTTGGTAACAGCTGGTCTTACATTAATTAGTTTAAAGTATTTATTTCATCCATCTCCAGAGCAGATTGAGCAAAAACATTAGAGATTATATCTAGCATCTGCAAATGCCCTGGAAACATGAACAAACCAACGGTTGAATATTAGGCATCCACTATTAGGGTTTGTGAT